AAAAGTTAAAAAAGTAATTTAGTTATTATTTAAGTAAATCAACCCCAATGATTTCTATATTTAGGTTTCTATGCATTACTGTTGAGAGAACTGATCCAAAAAGGTAGAAACTGCTCTTTTTTTTTTTTTGCCCTATTGCCCATATTTTTTTGTGTCCCTATTGGAAGATGTATACTCTATTACTTTTTTGGGGACAACCCAAAATCTGGGATTTTCTTTTACTTTCACATTTAATGGTATCTGTAAACAGGATAGAGAGGTCAGATTAATAATAATAATAATAATAATAATAATAATAATAATAATGATCACAATAATTATAATGAGAATATTATTTTTTTTATTTAGTTAAATAATCAAACAGGAATAATCAATACACAATTGCAGCAGAATTATGCCACTAATTCAGATTTTAATTTTTTGGGCAAACATTCAATCAGAGTCAAGCACAAATCATTCACAATCTTCCAAAATGAAGGTTGTTTGCAAACAGCCATTTATTTTATGCAATGATTACCACAATCAAACCGTCATGATATTGAAAATCACAACAGTACACCGGGCCCTTTTTGGTCTCTTTTGTCCTCTCTTTTTGGGCTGTAAAAAAGAATGCTGCTTACCTCAGTAGTTTCAGTATGCATTATATTCCAATTTTATGTTCCAATGTAGTATTGTTAAAATCTGTCCCACATTTTATTATTAAGTTTTAATATTGTATTTTAACTAATCACCTGCTCATCCTTTAATTACCCCGACATTTTAGTCTGTTTGAACTGTTGGCCTTTTCCATATTGATGCTCTTTTCTTTAGCAGATTATCTCATGCTATGTGTTAGTTTTGCCATACTTACCAGATTACTATCATTGAACTAAAAGTAAGATTGTATTTTTATCATATTGTGAATTTCTGGTTTAAGAAACAGGCCAGCATTGCAGTTTAATTATCTATTTATTAGCTGCCTTAAAACAAAAAAATATTTGCCATTTTTTTAATAACTTTTGAAAATGTGTTAGTTTTTATTATTTTTTTATTTTTGTAACATTTGTGGTCCATATAAAAAAGAAAACATATATTTCTATTCGGTTTAATTTTTAAGTGTTTTAACATGAACTAACTTTATGGTATTTTTTTCTGATAATAAAGTAATCTATGTTCCACAAAGCTCCCTTTGGCTGCTGTACATTCACACAGCACATTTTATTTAGGAATAGATTCCATAATATGCACCAAGTCAGTGCAATATTTCTTTTTTTTCTGTGAAATAAGGCACTTTTTTTTTTTATTCTTGATTATAAACCTGGCTGCTTTCTCCCTTTTTATTAGCCATCTTATAAAAAAACATTTACATACTGTGAAGTGAGTCTGGACAATATTTCTGGCTGTTGTTTGTGAATAAAATCAACTGTAATTTTTATTTATCATTTTTAAGTTTATCTTTAAAATGTTAATTATTATATTTTTAGCTTCTCAGCCACAAGTTAACCCATTGCAATGAAAGATTGTAGTCAGGTGCCTACAGGGAGTTTTGTATTTAGTATAGCTAGTTGGTCTGCCCAGGCTGGGGAAGAAGTTAACTGCTGGGACCTCGGTTTCTGGGCTTTTTCAAGGGCATGCCCTCCATCCTGTGTTATAGATAAATAAGGGAAAGGTTCAGTTCCAGAGGGAGCCTGGAGGGGAGTTCAGAAGTTCTGAGTTTGGAGAGTTATACAGGAAGCCAGCAAAGTACAATGCCCCATGTAGTCCAATAAGATAGTGGAGCTCTGGAGGACACTACCAGCTGTTGGAGAATGCCAGTAATGGAATGACACCTTTTAAAGTGTGCCTGGGAAGCCACTTTTCAGTAGTTATGTTCTACACACACTGCAACGTGTTTTGTATTTATCACACCAATAAAGTTTCTAAATAGTTCCAATGCCTGGTCTGAATTTACTCTAAAAGGGGTGCATGCTGGTTTCTGGCATGTGAAAGAACAGGGCCTGTAAAACACATATTGGGTAAGAGGCAAGTCCACTATGAACGGTTAACTTAGTAAAAGGAGTAAAGCAAGAGAGCAGTTACCAAGGGTAACTAAGGACTGGTGGAAGGAGTTTAGCAGCCTGTCAGGAAGCGTAGTATGTGACAGGTCCTCCAGTAGCGAGGATGTCATTGCTCTGGCTCCCTACCCAGTGGCCAGATATCCAAATGTTCAGGACTTAATCCATATTATGGAGACCCAAGGCCTAGCCACATGGTACAGGAGAGCAACGGGAGTTAATTATGTGCGTGCATGAAGTCTGCACTAGTGCATGGCGGGACCCCATTCTGTCAATGGGAATGAGGTGGCAGAGATACACTGGATAGGTGGAGAGGGCAAAGGCTCCATGGTGTCCTTCCTAAATGCAACAACTCACAGACAAGGTGTGTAGTAATATGGGACAGCACGCTTTACAGAGGCACTCTGTAACTTTAGCTACTGCACACGCTTTATGGCTCATCTCTATTTTGGGGTACTGCCATAATGTTGACTTCACACGCAGCCCCACCTGGCTCCAGGCATTGATGAGTGCGTGCACACTCTAAAGGTACCCCACATCATGGTCAAGGTGGCCCCAGGCACAAGCTCTTTGAAATGACACGTGTTGCAGGGCAGACTAGTACCTAAAGCATATGTAGCACTATCTACACCCAGTGGTCAAGTCTAGACACACAAAAGTTAATGAATGGGGTAAATAAAACAGTGTGCACTACAAATACTAATCTTAAAATAGTGTTCCAAATAAATAATGTAACTTAAAAAGATACGGTTGACAGAGAATGTGGGTGAGGCTCCAGTGTTTCGTATCAAATATCAACTTTCTGCCTATTCCATTTTTGTATTAGAGACTGTGGGCCTCTCACTCCTTGAATAAGAAAAATCTTAAAAAGTGTAACCACTGAAAAAAAGATCAGCACACAAAGGACAACATTGTCTGTTACAAAAACAAGTGAAGCACCCAAAGCCAACTTGTTTTGATTTTGCCTTGCAGTTATGCCTAGCATGCAGTGGAATTGCAACCAGATTAAATAAATGTTCTGGAAATGGTGGTAGATAATAGGGGGTGCTTTGAGGTCAAACTCTATTGTGAGAAATGTGGGGTGATGCACCACACATAAAGAGCAGCTTCCTGTCAGGGCTCCGGGTATGACCAGAGGTATGTGAACTGACGCAGGGAAACGCAGGCTTCAGATATGTTATAAACAATATAATTTATTAATACTAACAATACATAAACGCAGTGCAATACTAAAACATAAACACAGTGCAAATGAACCAAACCAAACCACCCACAGATAACAATACATACAATGCAAGCGTCGTCAGGCAGGCCGGGTCAATAACAACGGGCAGGTAGGAACAGGAGGAGCAGGCAGAGAGTAGTCAGGTCACGAGCCGGGTACAGCAACTAACGGGCAGGTAGGTAAAGGGGGTCAGGCAGAGAATGGTCGGGGTCACAAGCCAGGGATCAAACAGGAGAAGCCAGCAGAGGTCAGAATCAGGCAGGGTCGGCAACCAGTCAGTCGGCAGGAACAGGAACAGGAATGCAGGTAACAAGATACAGGGGCCCATGGAGAAACACACACCAAGGCCCAGACTGCAGGTCTGGCCATCCCTTAAATACACCTCCGTAATCAGCTTCAGGTGTTTGGCTGACTGCAGGGTTGAATCTCTGATTGCTGAGAGCACCCGCTGGCCAGCCCTGGTACTGCAGCCCACAAGGCAGGTGAGTCCCACCATTATTGGCAAGTCCATTCCTGACACTTCCCCTCTTAAAGAGAACAGTCTGCAAACCCAGGCCACCTTCTTGGTGGACAAAACCCTGTGCTATTCTCCATTTAGATCTGGGAAGTGTGAAACTGCTCTTCACATCACCCTTTTCTTCCTCAACACCAGTAGCACATCCTTCCCTTCTCACCAGCAGAACCTTTCTACTCCTATTACTCCTCTGCTTCCTGGAGGCAGCAGGTGAAGAATCTTGCTGGACAATTGTTCATGATATTGTGTGCTCCATCAGGAACACCAGAGGGATTATGAGCGTCATTGTGTTTTACATTTTAAGGCTGGCAAAATCTCCTGTGGAATTGGCCACCTCTAATCATAACTATGGCCAGGTGTATCTCCTTTCACCAGGTATACCAGTTGCATAGGCTCTGGGGTACTACTCTGGGGGGTGATTAGAGATCTCTGTTTTTTTTTAACAGTTTTATTGCTTATACAATGAAGATCACCATATAAGCAATATCTTTAACTGTGATAAATGGGTTTCCCATTCATGAAGAGCTTGCTTTATATTGTGATCTGTGATTGGGTTTTCCCATTCATGAAGAGCTTGCTTTATATATTGTGATCTGTGATTGGGTTTCCCATTCATGAAGAGCTTGCTTTATATTGTGATCTGTGATTGGGTTTCCCATTCATGAAGAGCTTGCTTTATATTGTGATCTGTGATTGGCTAAGCTAATCACATGGTACAGGTAGCCAGGTACCATGTGATTTCTGTGAACAGTAAGCAAGCTCTTCATGAATGGAAAGCCATTTATGACAGGCTGTTTACATTGTTATCATGTGATTGTTATGGCCAATCATAGAGATCACATGATACCCGGTTATAGGTAACAGTGATCCACTGTGTGTGACAAACACAGCGGTCACAGGAGATGTGCACTGCATGCCCCAGCAGGCTTGTTACATGCTCCTAAACAGGAGCAGGCTCAATCACATACAGTATATAACATGACTGAGCCTGAACGTGCCGCCCTGCCGGAGCAGCATGTGGTTACAATGGAGACCAGAAGACACAATGATGTAAAAGACCTGAACAGTTAGAAAGGAGATTGTAATTCAATGTTTCAAAACTTAAGTTAATGGCAAATTGAGTGAACAATTTATTTTTACTTGTTGCTTTGACATTCTCTCTTTATACTCTCTGTATGATCAAATATTTCACTCTCCTATCTGACAGGTCAACCTCCTGGCTTTTAAGATGTGTCAAGACAATCAAACAAAAGTCTCAGAAATCCATCTTCTTGGAGTACAAGGTCTAGGCAACTTCAAACCTCTAATCTTCACGGTCCTACTTTTATTTTACATTGCAATAGTGACCGGAAACTTTTTAATTATCCTTCTAGTGTCAACCAATAAAAAGCTCAAAATTCCAATGTTCCTCTTTCTCCAGCACCTTGCTTTCGCTGATTCCCTCCTAGCCACTTGTATTATACCAATGATGGCAGAGATAATAATAAGGACAAAGGGGAAAATGTCTGTTGCTGGCTGTATCACACAAATGTATTTATATTATATCTTTGGATTTGTGCAATGTTTTATTCTTGCTGTAATGTCTTATGATCGATATGTAGCTATTTGTAACCCTTTACATTACATTGTAATTATGAACCACAGAATCTGCTTCTTGTTGGGTTATGGTTGTTGGGTATTAACTTGGAGCATGTCATCATCCGAATTTATTTTGATAATTCAGTTTCAGTTTTGTGGCCCCAGTGTTATTTATTATTTCTTTTGTGATTTTGGTCCAGTTATGCAATTGTCCACATCAGACACATCTATCGCACAATGGCTAGACTTCACATACTCTCTCCTATCCGCATTCTGTGCTCTTACCTTTATCATCGGGACATACATCTACATTTTTGTTATCATTCTCAAGATTTCATCTTCTACTGCCAGAAAGAAATCCTTTTCAACATGTAGCTCCCACCTGCTCTCTGTAGGTGCATATTATGGGTCCTTGATCACTATTTATGTGACTCCATCCAGTGAGATGTCACCTAACATAAACAAGTACAGTTCCTTATTGTACATTGTAGTGACCCCATTGGTGAATCCTCTCATATATAGTCTGAGGAACCAGGAGATAAGACAAGCTCTTCATAAAAAATTACGAAAGATAGCAGTGAAGTAATATAGATAGAGATGTGTGAATATTCAATGGAGAATGAGTGACATGAAATCTCATATCTTCTGTCGATAGAAAACTGACATTCACTTCTCAAGGTATCTGGCCATTAACATTTAAGGAGACTCCCCACATTTCACTTCAGAGCTCTAGCTTTCCACTCTCATTGAAACCCAATAAACATTTGTATTTTAAGTGTATCTAAATCCAAGAACAAAAATGTAATGTAATGTATGGGTGCTTATCAGTTCTTAGTTGTGATGGTTGCATTCATTTTCTTTACTTTAGGATTTATTTCTTTATGTTCAGGTAATAATCATGCAAGTAACACAGTTCCTGTCTTTGGGAGACAAAACTGACTTGTTGTACTGTATCCATGGAAGAGCAGTACCCTAGGAAATGAAGTGTGTTAGAACTGCAAAGTCTCTCTCTCTCTCTCTCTCTTTCTCTCTCTCTCTGTCTCTCTCTCTCTCTGTCTCTCTCTCTTTCTCTCATAGCAGATAATGAAAAGGGATTTGATAATATGCTTCAAATATTTACAATGTTTTAGTCATCGGTTTCCAAAAAATACACTGTTATTTGTTTCTTCATGATGAAGTGTGTGTGCTCTCACCCTTTGGCATAGCATCTTAGCTAAAAAAGGAGAACATACGTCCCTCCAAAAAAATTTTGTTTTTCTTGCTTGTGGCTCTGGAAAATTTCACCTGCAAGTGTGTCATCCATTGAGGCCATGCATGCAGCATGTCCGTGAAATATTTCTGCCTCTTTTTTGTAACATTATCAATCGATTTTTTTTTCTCAGAATACCATATGCCTCATAGTGGCCAAGTGCAAATGCTTACCTAATGCGCGAGAGAGATCACGTCAAAAAAAATTGTCTATTTTCAAAGATTGAAGGCCAAAAAAAAAAAAATTGTACAGGTTTGCGGCACACCTTTTTTTTAGCCTTTTTTAGGTAAGTAGTAATTTCTGAAGGAGAAAGAGAGCATTTTACAACTGGAAATTTAAAAAAATATATATGGTTTTAGGAGACCAAAGATGGAAAAATGTTGCAGATTTGAACTATAGATATTAATCCTGAATAGACATCAATTAACTTTAGAATGATTGAGCAGCATAATACATCTGGAATGGGTATGCTGTTCCTTCAGAGCACATGCGTCGGCTTTAGAAAAGAGAGAATATCTCCTAAACGGTGCAATTTTAGGAGATAGCCAATGTACCTACAGGTTCACATTAGTATAGCGTCTTTGAAAACACAGCTTTAGCAGGATCAGCCCCGGCACCTGCCAGCACCTGCGTTTAACCCCTACACTTACCCCCCTTCTTCCTCAGCAAGTGCAATGTCAGTAGGCCACTGTCACTTGATACATTGCACACAAAACCGCAGTGTTCGCAGAATCAGGCCTGATCTCTGCTAGCACTTGCTGGTAAATTTTGATGACTCTCATATGCAGCAGAATGCCGGTACTAGTGCCGCTCTACCTTTTGGTGAACTGGCGAGCACCAGCTGTTTAGTACATCCTGGTCTTTCACATACCAGCACTGCAGTATCACTTGGTGACGTAGCGAGTCCCATAAGTGCAGTACAAGCTGGTGCCGTGGTGAGCACAAGTAGTCTCCCGCAACCACCAAGAGTTCGCACACAGGCCCATAGAGCCCCTAGTGTCCTTCCTGACATGCTTACAAATCTCGATTGGCAGCCCACAAATTCTTCAGCATCCGTACTTCCCCCATTCACTGCCCAACCCGGAATTCAGGTGGAAACAGAAAATTTAACTACTCCCCTTGATTTTTTGGAGCTGTTTTTCAGGGAAGATCTGTATGCAGACTGTCGCCTACCCTCCTCACCTTTAGGTGCACCCTGAAAACCCACCTCTTCAGGGAAGCCAACCCCACCCTCACCTAGCAACTGACCTCTTCCACTCCTCCCACCACTCCATCCCCTACAGCCATTTCCTCCTGTACCACTTTCCCCTTCGTCCTACATTGTAAGCTCGAAAGAGCAGGGCCCTCGAACCCCTCGTGTATTGTATTGTTACTGTCTTGTCTCATGTTCTGTCCCCCTTGCTATTGTACAGCGCTGAGCAAACCCTTTGGCGCTATATAAATACTGTATAATAATAATAATATTAATATGCACAACAATTTATCGCCGCCAATCCAAATTCAAACCTTGCCAGACCATTCACATGTAAACCCATTACGGTTTCCGAATTTAAATTTTTTTGGGCCTAACCTTCAATATGGGCATTTCTAAAAAAAAAATGAATTGCTGTTGGAGTCTAACTTTGTTTTGTGAAAGTGTAGGGTGATACACTACACACACTAAGTGCATCTTTACCCGTTAAAGCAAAAAGTCTTCAAACCAAGGCCGCCTTTTTTGGAGATTGGACAGCCTTTTTCCATTGGGAGCTCCCCCTTCACCTATGCCTACAGAATAGTGTATTCAGCCACCATCAACCTTAGACTGGTGAGTTTTTTTGTTACTATTCTCCTGTTAGGTTGGGAATGCGGGAAACTGCCAATCCTCTTCCTCCACACCACTAGAAGCACAAAGCTACCATTCTCACCAGCAGAACCCTAACCTACCTGCTCCTATTCTCCCTCTGTCTCCTGCTGCTTTTGCCTCACAGAATGGAGGCAGTGGGCAAAGAATCTTGTTGGCCCCGAGACTGAGACAATTTCTTCTTCCTCTTTCAGCTATGTCTTCAGTGGCCAGAAAAACCTTGTGTTATTCTGTTGACTTTGGAATATACCTGTATTATAATTTTGAGAAAATGTGTGCATACCCTAAAGTAAATTATAATAAACGTAAATGTTTCAGCTTGCAGAAAACAATCAGTTCAAGGACACATTAAACAATATTTAATTAAATGAACATTCTGATTAAAGTGAAGACCACAAAACAAACTAGAGTGGAAGACCAGAACAGTAAGTAAGAAGCAGATTTTAATTTGGTATTTTAAACTTTAGGTAATAGCAGATTAAGTGGACTTTCTGATGCCAATGGAGGTGCAAATATTTCTTGTCACTTGGTGCTTTGGTGTTTTATCCTTATGCTATCTCTGTGTTTCAAAATTTCACTCACCTACCTGACAGGTCAACCTCCTGATTTTTTTAAATGTGTTGAGATAATCAAACAAAAATCTCAGCGATCCATCTTCTTGGAATACATGGTCTAGACAGCATTAAACCTCTATTTTTCACTATCCTACTTATACTATACATTGCAATAGTGACTGGAAACCTTGTAATTATCCTTTTAGTATCAACTAATAGTAATCTCAAAATTCCAATGTTCATTTTTCTCCAGCACCTTGCTTTCGCTGATGCCCTCCTAGCCACTTGTGTTATACCTGTGATGGCATCAGTTATATTAAGGACAGAGGGGAAAATGTCTGTTGTTGGAATATCTGTTGTTGGCTGTATCATGCAATGTTTTCTTCTTGCTGTAATATCTTATGATCGCTATGTAGCTATTTGTAAGCCTTTACATTACATTGTAATTATGGACCGCAGAATCTGCTTCTTGTTGGGTTATGGTTGCTGGGTATTAACTTGGAGCCTATGTTCAATTGAATTTATTCTGATATTTCAGTTTTGTGACCTCAGTGACATTTGTGATTTTTGCCCAATTATGCAATTGTCCACATCAGACACATCTATCGTACAATGGCTAGACTTAGCATAATCTATCCTATCCACATTCTGTGCTCTTGCCTTTATCATCTGGACATACATCTACATTTTTATTATAATTTTCAAGATTTCATCTTCTACTGCCAGAAATAAAGCCCACCTAATCTCTGTGGGTGTATATTATGGGTCTTTAATCACTATTTATGTGACTCCATCCAGTGAGATGTCACCTAACGTGAACAAGTACAGTTGTTTGTTATACACTGTGTTGACCCCATTGATGAATCCTCTCATATATAGCCTGAGGAACCAGGAGATAAAACAAGCTCTTCATAAAAAGTTGAATAACATTTTAGCAGCAAAGTGATTTAGTGATAACTAAATCTTTAAATGGGAATTAGTGAGATGAAACAATAAACCTTCCATTGCTGGAAAAGTGACGTTTACTTCTCATGGTGGATTCTATCTCAAGGTGGCAACCTATCTGAACCTTGCAATATACAAGAGATCCCTACATTGCATCTCAGAGCTCTGGCTTTCTACTTCCCAGATGCTGTAAATAAAAGCCAATAAACATTTTTATTTAAAGTGTGTCTGAATACAAGAACAAAAATGTAATGTGTGGGAGCCTACAAATCTTTAGATGTGATAGATGCATTAGCAACCAAGGCACTGTGTAGTCTGCTCAGAACAGAAGGTTACAAGTTTACTAAGTTTTCAGCAGAACAACAAATATATTTTGCACTTATTGAAAAGATAATTAAAAAAATTAATACTTAACAGGCCAAAAGGGAGTATAAGAGAAGTTCATTGTTGGTAGGGCTGCATGTTCCCAGGTTTAGAGATCATTACTGAAGTTTGGATCCTGAATCCAAGCTACATTGAAGCCAAAAGGAGGAGACATTTGGACATCAGTAATGACCATTTTCTCGGATAAAAGTAAAGAGATAGTCAAAAAAAGCCATGAAGAGCTTGGCAGTGGCTAAGATATGCACAAACCCAAAATAAAATATTGTTCAAGTGGCTCAAAAATCAACATTGAAAATACAAAAATCCTTCAAAATACATGACTAGGGGATGCCTTAAAGCTGTATGTGGTTTCAATGAACATAACAATTCTCAGGAATATCATCAGTAGTTTGGGCCCATGGGGAAATTAATTAAACTTTCAAATGTATTCAGTAATTTGGATAACAAACAGATCCAAATTTGGTTTAATCTCAGATGCACTGCACATGATTTCAGTCGATATTGTCCAATAAGTTCATGCCATTTCTCTTGGTAGATTGGACTAGCAGGGATGTATATGGTTTTTGACAAATTTTGCATTATTTATTCTGTTGTGTCTGAAAATATCAAATTGTTCTGAATAGTTTCAATATATGAATAATACATCTATTCCAAAATATCAAAGCTAAAAACAAATATATAGCAATCTTCTGAAAAAAACTGCAAAATGTTTAGAATCCACAATAAATATACAAAACAAATGCCAACTGTATGAAATAAATTCTGGAAATGAATTGGTTCATGTGAATATGACAAAATGAAATTCTTCAATGAGCAAATGCATCTGAAACTAAACGAAAATTTCCGGGGTGCACGTGTTTAGCAATCAGTTCAATCACAATGTACACAATATACAATATGAAAAATTGAGTAAAATGAAGGCCAGAAGAAAAAATGGAATGGAGGACCTGAACAGTAAGAAGCAGATTTTAATTCAATATTTCAAAACTTATGTTAATGACAGATTGAGTGAACAATGTATTGTTACTCATTGCTTTCTTGTTCTCTCCAAAACTCTCTGTATGATCAAATATTTCACTCCCATATCTGACAGGTCAACCTCCTGGCTTTTAAGATGTGTCAAGACAATCAAACAAAAGTCTCAGAAATCCACCTTCTTGGAGTACAAGGTCTAGGAAACTTCAAACCTCTAATCTTCACGGTCCTAATTTTATTTTACATTGCAATAGTGACCGGAAATTTTGTAATTATCCTTCTATTGTCAACTAATAGTAATCTCAAAATTCCAATGTTCCTCTTTCTCCAGCACCTTGCTTTCGATGATGCCCTCCTAGCCACTTGTATTATACCAATGATGGCAGAGATAATAATAAGGACAAAGGGGAAAATGTCTGTTGCTGGCTGTATCACACAAATGTATTTCTATTATATCTTTGGGTTTGTGCAATGTTTTCTTCTCGCTGTAATGTCTTATGATCGATATGTAGCTATTTGTAACCCTTTACATTATATTTTAATTATGGACCGCACAATCTGCTTCCTGTTGGGTTATGGTTGTTGGGTATTAAATTGCAGCCTCTGTTCAACTGAATTTATTTGGATAATTTAGTTTCAGTTTTGTGGCCCCAGTGACATTGGTTACCATATATTTCGTTCCATAAGACGCACCTAGGTTTTAGTGGAGAAAAACAAAAAAAAAAAAGAATGGACTGCAGACATACTATAGGAAGTGACCAGAGACTGCGGACATAGTACAGGTGATGACCAGAGACTGCGAACAAAGTACTGGAGATGACCAGAGACTGCGGACATAGTACAGGAGATGACCAGAGACTGCAGACATAGTACAGGAGATGACCAGAGACTGCGGACATAGTACAGGAGATGACCAGAGACTGCGGACATAGTACAGGAGATGATCAGAGACTGCGGACATAGTACAGGAGATGACCAGAGACTGCGGACATAGTACAGGAGATGACCAGAGACTGCGGACATAGTACAGGAGATGACCAGAGACTGCGGACATAGTACAGGAGATGACCAGAGACTGCGGACATAGTACAGGAGATGACCAGAGACTGCGGACATAGTATAGGAGATGACCAGAGACTGCGGAAATAGTACAGGAGATGACCAGAGACTGCGGACAGTACAAGAGATGACCAGAGACTGCGGACATAGTACAGGAGATGACCAGAGACTGCGGACATAGTACAGGAGATGACCAGAGACTGCAGACACAGCACAGGAGATGACCAGAGACTGCGGACATAGTACAGGAGATGACCAGAGACTGCGGACATAGTACAGGAGATGACCAGAGACTGCGGACATAGTACAGGAGATGACCAGAGACTGCGGACATAGTACAGGAGATGACCAGAGACTGCGGACATAGTATAGGAGATGACCAGAGACTGCGGAAATAGTACAGGAGATGACCAGAGACTGCGGACAGTACAAGAGATGACCAGAGACTGCGGACACAGTACAGGAGATGGACCAGAAATTGCGGACACAGTACAGGAGATGACCAGAAACTGCGGACACAGTACAGGAGATGACCAGAGACTGCGGACACAGTACAGGAGATGACCAGAGACTGTGTACACAGTACAGGAGATGGACCAGAGACTGCGTACACAGTACAGGAGATGACCAGAAACTGCGGACACAGTACAGGAGATGACCAGAGACTGCGGACACAGTACAGGAGATGACCAGAGACTGCGGACACAGTACAGGAGATGACCAGAGACTGCGGACATAGTACAGGAGATGACCAGAGACTGCGGACAGTACAGGGGATGACCAGAGACTGCGGACACAGCACAGGAGATGACCAGAGACTGCGGACAGTACAGGAGATGACCAGAGACTGCAGACAGTACAAGAGATGACCAGAGACTGCGGACACAGTACAGGAGATGGACCAGAGACTGCGGACACAGTACAGGAGATGGACCAGAAATTGCGGACACAGTACAGTATATGGACCAGAGACTGCGGACACAGTACAGGAGATGACCAGAGACTGCAAACACAGTACAGGAGATGACCAGAGACTGCGGACACAGTACAGGAGATGACCAGAGACTGCGGACACAGTACAGGGGATGACCAGAGCCTGCGGACACAGTACAGGGGATGACCAGAGCCTGCGGACACAGTACAGGAGATGACCAGAGACCACAGACACAGTACAGGGGATGACCAGACTGCGGACAGTAAAGGGGATGACCAGTGACTGCGGACACAGTACAGGAGATGACCAGAGACTGCGGTCAGTACAGGGGATGACCAGAGGCTGTGGACATAGTACAGATGACCAGAGACTGCAGATAGTACAGGCGATGACCAGAGACTGCGGACAGTACAAGAGATGACCAGAGACTGCGGACAGTACAGGGGATGACCAGAGACTGCGGACAGTACAGGAGATGACCAGAGACTGCGGACAGCACAGGGGATGACCAGGACTGCGGACAGTACAGGGCATGACCAGACACTGCGGACCTTTAGGGAGGGAGGGGGAGCAGGTACCTGAATTTGACAGGTAACCACTCCCACTTCTGTAGAGTTGTCCTCCCTTTACTGTAGGCACCCGGCTATGACAGCCGGGTGCCCACTGCGCATGCGCGATAAGCGCTGCGCTTTGTGAATGGCCCAGCGTCTTCTGGGACCTGTCATGTGTCCCAGAAGACGCCGGGCCGTTCACAAAGTGCATCGCTTCTCGCGCATGCGCAGTGGGCACCTGGCTGTCACAGATGCTGGCGCGGGAAGAAGCCGGTGCGGGAAGACTGTACAGCGCTGGACCGAGGAACAGGTAAGGTCCTGCAGCAAAGAACAGCTAAGCGGCCGGCCCGGTATTCTGACATGATGGTGGCGGAAATATCGGCCGCTTTATATTTGCTCCATAAGACGCACTGACATTTTCCCCCCTTTTTTGGGGGGAAAAAGTGCGTCTTATGGAGCGAAAAATACGGTACTTGTTTTGTGATTTGGGCCCAGTTATGCAATTGTCCACATCAGACATATCTATCGTACAATGGCTAGACTTCACATACTCTGCCCTTGTCTTATTCTGTACTCTTACCTTTATCATCGGGACATACATCTACATTTTTATTATAATTTTCAAGATTTCATCTTCAACTGCCAGAAAGAAATCCTTTTCAACATGTAGTGCCCACCTGATCTCTGTGAGTGCATATTATGGGTACTTAATTACTATTTACATGACTCCATCCAGTGAGATGTCACCTAACATGAACAAGTACAGTTGTCTGTTGTACATTGTAGTGACCCCATTGATGAATCCTCTCATATATAGCCTGAGGAACCAGGAGATAAGACAAGCTCTTCATAAGAAGTTGAGGAAGATAACAGTAAGATCACCACAGGTCAGGGGCAATGCTTTGGCCAATCACAGAGCATGATGATGTCACAAGGGGGTGGGGTGATGTCACAAGGGGGTGGGGTGACCCCACCCCCTTGTGACATCATCACATTATTTAAGAACTGTCATCATGGCGCAGCTGTCAGATGGCGGGAGCCAGCATTAACAGCGAAGAATTTTGTTTTCTTTTTTTAGGTGGTGGCAGCGGGCATCGTGATTGACATTGGATCTACTTTGAGAATATTTTTTTATTTTTTGTTTTTAGTAAAGGAGTTGTCAAAGACTGTCTGTTATGCTTCCACTACAATTTTTTTTTTTACTCATTCACATGGGGGGACAGGATCTGGGGACCCCCTTTCTTAAAGGGGCTTCCAGATTCTGATAGGCCCCCCACCCGCAGACTCCCACAACCACTGGCCACAGTTGTACCCCCCTGCCCCTAAGCTCCTCCCAATGTTGAGGGCATGTGGCCTGGTATGGTTCAGGAGGGGTAGGCACTCACTTGTTCTCTCCTTTCCTGACCTGCTGGGCTGCATGCTCGGATAAGGGTCTTGTATGGATTTTGGGGAGGACCCTTACCCCATTTTTTAAAAACATTTGGCATGGTGGTTCCCCTAAAAATCCATACTAGACCCAGAGGGCTTGGTATGAATGGGGGGCACCCAAGTTAATTGTTTGTAGAGATGAGCCAAACATACCTCAGTTAAGTTTGGTGAACGTTCAGAGAATATTACCAAAGTTCAGATCCCAAATCCAAGTTCCATTGCAATCAGAAAGAGCTGACACATAGAAATCAGTAATGGCCATTTCCTGGGCTAACAGGCAAGGGGACAAGGGTTTGTCAAAAAAAAGCCTTGGAGAGCATGGCAGAGGCCTGTGAGATATGTACCTATGAAAATAAATAAAATACATGTATCATTTAGTGAGAAAGGGTCTTTTTAAGGTGGCTTAAAATACCCCATTGAAAGTTCCAAGGTTCTTTAAATCACATGCTTACATCTTCCAAGGCTCCAGAACAGCATCTGGTTTGCCTCCACTGCTCTTAGGTAGGAATCACCGGCTCACCAGCCTCACAGCTCTCAGGTGGGTTGCAGTTTGTCCCAGTCCTCGTCTCCCCAAGGAAAGAGAAACTTCTTCCTCTGTCAGGAGAAAACTATTTCAACCCCTCCTCTTTAATTTTTTTCTGCTGGCAATTGTAGTGTAGAGCAAGCCTGTGGTAATGACTTTTTAGAGAACTACACTTCCCACAATCTTCCATGTTTACTCTCAAAGGTCTCTAACAGTGCATGTCCTCACCTCGCCCTCTGGTGGATGGAGAGTGACTGAACATCAGCTGCTCTGTGTTCTGTGCAGCAGCTGTCTCTGTCACTGAACAAATACAGAATCTTGTGCTCAGATGTGAACAAGAGCAGTCTGTCTTGTAAACAATAAACTGACAGTCAAGTAGCTGTCTCTGCTAGCATTGCAGGCTGGGGATAAATTATTAATACTGGCCCAAGAGGCAAATGTTCCCATTGCCCCAGACTAGTGTTCTTCTCTTGCAACTACTTCATGCATCAATGTGGAGCGGTCCAGTATGGAAGCATATTACACAATAGGGTTTATTTGCTAAAGCTATAGAGTCCAAAATCAGGCTCACTTCTATATAGAAACCAATCAGCCTCTAACCCAGCATTTTTCAACCAGGGTGCCTTGAGGTTTCTTAAGGGGTGCCTTGGCTAAATGTCTAAAAATTGCCCAAAAAAACTTGTACACAAGCCAGCAGGTGGAACAAGCCTGCCTTTAGGTAACATAAAGCCACAGGCTTTCATTGTGCGCCATTACAACCTTCTAGCCACCAGTGTCCTGACAACCAATGACATCATCAGTTGATAAGGAGGATGTTAGTTGCCTGCACAGCATCTTTTTTTGACCCTCGTCTGCCCCTCTCCATCAGTGCGGGGGTCACATTAGCTCAGTAGTGGAGAAAAACTGAGGGAGAAAAGAAACAATGGAATACTAGTCAGTACCCGTGTGCAAAAGTGTATTTGCTTTGGAAGAATAAATTACCTCTAATGTTGGGTATCCTATGTGTGTGGATGTCGCTGCATTATATAAAGCTATTAGAATAGCTTTTACATTTTAGAATGGGGTGCCTCAATACTGTCCATCCTTTTTGTGCCTTGACAATGTCCATAATATTAAAGGTGCCTTGACTGTAAAAAGGTTGGGAAACGCTGCTCTAACCTCAACTTGTTCAATTAATCTTTGGTAATAAAACCTGGAAGCTGATTGGTTTCTATGCAGAAGTGAACCTGATTTTTCACACTCCAGTGCAAAGTAAATCAACCCCAATGTATAATAAACACTAGTAGGACTTGGTTAGAATTGTTACAATCAGAATGTGTGAGCCCCAATCTTTGCCGAAAAACTAGACTGGGACTCATAGATTTTCTATTTCTATGTGTATTATGGAGTTTTCTGTTTTGCTAGTCTTAATTAATAAAATAGCAATAAAATATTAAGAATGAATCAGTAGTTACTCCAGAGACTTCTTTTTACACATGGCTCATTAGTGGTAAATACACGGCTATGTCAACAAAGGCTCAGTAGATACTATTATACAGAAGGAACGATGA